AGACAGTCTTTCTCAAATCCAGATTTTCAGAATCATAGTCTCAAACCCAAGATTGTTATCCAGCCCAAAGTTCTTTCAAAGAGCTTCTTCTGCATATGCGTATAGCCACTGTGCGATCGCCTACAAGGGCTCTACTTTGAGTTCCACCTAAAATTGGACAATCACACCCCGTAATCTGACTGCTAAACGCACACTCAACATACAGAACGAGAGAATTAATTTGATCTAAACAAAATCTCGTGCTTAGTTTCTTTCCACAGACTACTTAAAATGTTTCGTATCTATATGGTTAGTTCATTTTATTATCATAGAGGCTCACCAACTGATGGAATAACTCGAGTTTACTCAAGACTAAGGGTCGCGGTGCAGTTGAAAGTTCTCTCTGTGGTCTTTATGATAGTAACAGTCGCATAAGCTCCAAGGTCACCTGAATGAGACCTGACGTGGATCGATTCGCAGATTAGGTTGAGAAGGGTGCGTATAAACGGACCGGTTTGTCTAGTTAATCACTCATTACTCTTGACTTTGTGATGCCAAAGAACATGGTGGACGGAAGATAATGCAAAAGTGACTGCGAGTCGCACTCTGCCCTAAGCAAATTTATGTGCAATTGAAAGCAGTAACTATCTCATCAATTCGTGTGACAAGCAAACTATTTTGATCCTTTATTTTCTGAAATGCAAAAATATTAATGGTAACACCTTATAAGAATAACTATCATATAGAATTCTCGTAAAAGCCTAATCTGCAATATTTTTTATCCTAGTCTGTATTTCAAATGCAGCAACTATGAAATTAATATTTGACACTTTTAGAGTGCGTTGTTCTTCTCCTTATAGTTATTTCAACTGGGAAACGCAGAACATAACAGCTAACCCCACTCCAAACTATGCGGTGATTACGGATAATCCAGGTGGAATTCTTTTCAAAAACAAACGGGATCGTAAAATTTTAAATGTTGATCCCTGGGTAAGTTGCAGTCAAAGTTTTTACTGCCTATGCTGCTCAAAAGACAAGCCTTTAGAAGAACAGCACTCTTGTAGTATAACAACGTTCGAGTTTGAAAGCAAGAAAGTGTCTTCAGCATTTAGTGATCACAATCACGTTTAATTTTGCCCCCACTTGTAGCAACTAGGTAAAATAAACTCGCTGATAAAGTATTTTCTTTTAAAAACGTATTGTGAGTAGTCCTGAGTTCAGCCTCCTAGGCGAATTTTTCTTTAATATATTTCATGAATAGGTAAGGTACTGATATAAACCTAGAGGATTCACGTCCATACGTACTAATGTGAACTGATATGCCTAAATAATTCGCAGTTTACGTATGGGTGCATAAATAATAAAAACAAAACAATCCTCCAAATGAGAAGAAGCAAATGTGATCGCTAGAAAAAGATTTTTATCCGCTAGACGTTTCGAAATCCGTCGCGGATCCATCATCACACCAATCAGCTCCCTTTTTCATTACACGCGTCTGAGTTTCCTTTCCTGTCAAGATCGTGCCTATATATTTTTTAAGCCAAGATGCATGAGCGCATGGGCTTAGTGCTTGTCACGAAATCGCCTCTCTTGTGACAGTTGTTTGCATTTTGTTTCAAGCAACCTGAGGAAAAATATATGTGCTTATTCACTAGGTAAGTTCTACGTACTGAGTACGCAAAAGATTTCATGTGAGTAATTTACTTCTAAGTGGGCTCGTGCACTAGGCGAAGATTGTTGAAAATGGCACCGATTAGCTACGAAAATTTTTCCGATTCACTATAGATAATCCACATGACATTGGCTGCAGCTATAATAAGAATAAGAAAACAAATAAGGAACCCAGAAAATTCGGTAAAATGTGCAGGAGTGTTTGCACTATATGAGACATTTGAAGTTGCAGCGACCCTTATCAACGGTAATTGTCGACTTTTTTCATAGGAACATACCCACCTACACATAATAGTCAGCGGATAGCTGGTTAACTAACTGTTATTTTTCCTGTTACTCTAGATGTATACAAACGATTAAACAATATGAAGTATAGACACATTTTACTGTGTGGTTTAGTTTCTGACTGGATTCAAGATCTGAAAAATTCCTTTAAAAAAATCACCAAGCCAATTTGGCCGTGTGTAAT